CTCTGTAGAACCCAGCAGGTCTCTGTAGAACCCAGCAGGTCTCTGTAGAACCCAGCAGGTCTCTGTAGAACCCAGCAGGTCTCTGTAGAACCCAGCAGGTCTCTGTAGAACCTGAAAGCTCCTGGAGAACCCAGAGAACCTCTGCAGACTCCAGACCTCCTGATGTGTTTAACATCTGTCTGCTGATCCTCCAGCTGCTCAGAGAAAACACTGTCTGACCGGAAACATGAAAGTTGCTCTTTCAAAATAAAAGCGACAATGTGGATTTATTTAGAGTTTTTAACTGATATTTTATTATTTTTCTGTCCTGGAAATATTATTAACAGATTATTAAAAAGATTAAAATCTCAGAGTTTCATTTTATTTTTCTGTTTTAATGTTAGAAGAATAATAAAAAAAAAAACTAACTGCTGCGATCAGATTCACAGATCTGTTTTATACTGAAGGGTCAGACCGGAAGTTATTTTATTGTGGAGGTCATGATTGCGTGTGAAGCAGCTTCAACTGTTGCAGCAACAAACTGAAGAACTTTTTCATCAAAAGTTTTTATGTAAAATAGTATTTTTGAAACATTTACTTCCGGTTTTAAACTGAAGAGTTTTTTGTTTTTCAGTGTTTTTATTTTTCAGTTTTTATGATTTTTTCTCAGGTTTCAGCAGAATTTAGTCTGTTTTTAAATAATTTTTGTTTTTTATTGACTTTTATTTTTAAAGTTTGTTAATTTTTGTTGTTTTCCCGCGGGTCGGCTCTTTGATCTTTTTTATTTTTTCCTTTTTTTTTCATCTGGTTCTGGTTCTGGTTCTGGTTCTGGTTCTGGTCCTCAGGAGTCCTGGACGCACGGATCCGGGTGTGAGTGTGGATTTAAAGCTGCAGACAGAACTTGGTCCTGAACAGAACCCGGTCCGACCCGGTCTCTGTGGGTTTCAGCTCATAAAATGCAGGTTCTGGTTCTCTTGGTTCTGAACTTGCTCACCTGCGGGGCCGTCCCGAACCGGCTCTGGGGCAGCGGCTGGAACGGAACCGGTCCCGGCGGGGCAGCTGTTTGCGGGCCCTGCGAACCGGACCTGTGTCCCGAGTCCCGCGGCTGCCGGGCCGGGCTGGTTCCGGACTCGTGCGGCTGCTGTCAGGAATGCGGGAACCTGGAGGGTCAGGCGTGCGACCCGGGGGACCGGAACCTGTTCTACGGTCTGTGCGGGACCGGGCTGCGGTGCCAGGCGGACCCGGGTCCCGCAGGACCAGGAGGAGAGGATGAAGAGGAGGTGTGTGTCTGTGAGGACCAGGAGCCGGTCTGTGGGACTGACGGAACCACATACCTGAACATGTGTCAGTTCAGAGAGGCCGCCTTCTCCGAACCCGAGCTCCGGACCAGAGGGAGGGGGCCCTGCCGGACAGGTGAGTCACACCTGGTACTACATGAGAAGAACTGGACCTCAGACTCAGAACCGGACAGGAAGTGGTTCTCTGGTCCCTGTAGGTGGAAAAAGGGTTCATTGAGACCTCAGGGAGGGACTCGGATCCTGGATCGGTTCTGGATCTGAGGTGTGAGGGTTGGACCTCCTGACAGAGAGGAGCTGTTACTGGTCTCAGAGGGTCTGAGGGGGCGGGACTTATGTTGGTGACCTGCCCCCTCAGACCTTTTCATGGCCTCTGGACTCATTAAAGTTCTGACGAGTCCAGCTTGAGGGTCTGAGACCAGCTGGACTCAGTTTGAGCTGCTTCATAAACTTCAGTTCAAACAATCAAATTTAGTTTGAATTTCTGTCAAATGTCTAAAATAAACAAAAAGACACAAAGTCTCAGGAGGCTGAGAGACAGGTGAGAGACAGGTGAGGGACAGGTGAGAGACAGGTGAGAGACAGGTGGGGGACAGGTGAGAGACAGGTGAGGGACAGGTGAAAGACAGGTGAGGGGACAGGTGAGGGACAGGTGAGAGACAAGTGAGAGACAAGTGAGAGACAGGTGGGGGACAGGTGAGAGACAGGTGAGGGACAGGTGAAAGACAGGTGAGGGGACAGGTGAGGGACAGGTGAGGGACAGGTGAGAGACAGGTGAGGGACAGGTGAGATGAGACAGCTGAAAGA